GGACTAGGAGAGACATGATAACAGAGTTTCGATATCTATGAGCTCTGGTGGTGCAGTGGTTAGTATGCAGTATTGCAGTCTAATTCTGGCGACTGCCAGCAGTTCAATTCTCACCGGCTCAAGGTTAACTCACACCTTCCATTCTTCTGAGGTGGGTAAAATGAGGACCCTAATTGTTGGGAGCAAGATGCTGTCTGTGTAAACCGCTTAGAGAGGGCTGTAAAGCACTGTGAAGGGGTATAGAAGTCTAAATGCTATTGCTATTCCTAAGAGGTTGCCACAGAGAAGAGGGGTCAACCTATTTTTCAAAGCTCCTGAAGGCGGAACAAGAAGCAATGGATGGAAACGAATCAAGGAGAGAACCAATCTAGAACCAAGGAGAAATTTCCTGACAGTTAGTACAATCAATCAATCAATCAATCAATCAATCAATCAATCAGTAGAATGGCTCCCCTCCAGAAGTTGTGGGTGCTCCAGCATTGGAGTTTTTTTTAAAAAAGATTGGACAACCATTTGTTCGAAACGGTAGGATTTTTTGAGCAGGGGGTTGGATTAGAAGACCTCCAAGGTCCCTTCCAATTATTCTGTTCTGTATTAGAAGTAAATTCTCTCTAGATCAGTGTTGGTGAACCATTTCGACACCGAGTGCTGAAACGGGAGCGTGCACGCGTACAGGAAACTGGAAGAGCAGCCGCCCGGTGCGCATATGCGCGCCAGGAAGATGATCTTCCAGTTTCTGGTGCGCCACCTCGTCTTCTGGTTTTTGGCACGCATGCATGTGTGAAGACCAGCTGGCCAGTGCACATGTGCATGCCGGAAACCGAAAGAGCAGGCCACCCGGTGCACATTCACGCACTGGGAAAATGATCTTCCGGTTTCCAGTGCGCACATGCGCTCCGCCACTTGGTCTTCCAGTTTCTGGCGTGCATGCACATGCAAAGACCAGCTGGCTGGTGCGCTGGAAACTGGAAGAGCAACAGGCGATGGCTCACGTGCCCGGAGAGATGGCTCTGTGTGCCACTTCCACCACATGTGCCATAGGTTCGCCATCGCGGCTCTAGATTATGGATTTTATTTTTTAAAAGAATAGAAAGAGAACAAACAGTTTTTTTCTTATTGTTTCCAGTAGAGAATCAAAACATTTGCTCTCCGCAATGTTTGATCTGACATACATCTGGTCCATACTGCAATCTTTAATTCTGATTTTTTTTTTTTAATTTGATTTATATGCCGCCCTTCTCCGGAGACTCAGGGCGGCTTACAATGTGTTAAGCAATAGCCTTCATACTTTTGTATATTTTATACAAAATCAGCTTATTGCCCCCACAAACTGGGTCCTCATTTCACCTACCTTAGAAAGGATGGAAGGCTGAGTCAACCTTGAGCCTTGGAGAGATTCGAACCAGCAGAAATTGCAGGCAGCTGTGTTAATAACAGGGTGCACTAAACCACTGTACTATCAAGGCTCTTACATCTGCCTCAAGAACACGGAGTAGAAATGGTAATGAACTGTACATGCAGGGCATTGAAACTTTTGCCAGAAAACTTCGGAAGGGAAAGACACGAAAACAGCGCAGGAATGAATGGAAGGGTACGTCCTCACCCCTCAGCTACAAATTTTGATTAAAATTCCTCACATACTTCCCGTGAACAAGAGGCTTTACATTTTTGTGGCCCCTGGTCTTTCAAACTTCTTATGTTTGGCACGTTTTTCTGAAATGTTGAGATAAAATGAATCCAGGCAGGCTGTGTGTTATTTTTCTTCAAGCTTCTGCTATTTTTTTTTTTTTAAGAGGAAGAGTTACTGTGGGAGAGAAGTTGAAGTTTTCTGAAAAACTTTGAAAAAAAAGTAAAAAAAAAAAAAAGCAAGGCACAGAGTTTTTAACTTTCATAGTTTTTAACTTTCGCTGCATTTTCCTACATTATGCAAGAAGTTTTCACGCAAGGAATTTGATCGGGAAATTTACCTTGGCAGCAAATACATTCCACTTAGTGTGTGATGGGTATAAGATAGAATCCTCATTTCAAATAAAACATTGCCTTTGTAATTGATCGATCGCTTAAATTGTTCTTTTACTGAGATTCCTGACACTGGGTTATGCTACGAGCAAGATTAAGCAGCCTCTTGCATGAAAGTGAATTTCTGCATGTAGGGAAGTTGGCAATATGTCTTGCCTTCGTAGCCCATAATGCACAGCACATTCTTTGGTGGTTGTCAAAACTTTTATGCTTGTGGGAATCATTGTTCTTTTCATGACTTTTGAAAAGTTTTGTAAGGAATTGTTTGTAGCTTTCTCAGCACCCTACTGCAGGGATACAGTGTAACAAACATTGTAAATGGATGTGTCTTTCTCCTAATTTTCTAATAAAATTTAGCAATTTAAAGCCAAACAATAGTACCCTCTCCTCCAAAATAACAAAAATAAAACCAGGTATTTGACGTTTTAAGATTCAGCAGTGTTGTTGGGATCAATCAGTGTCTGTCTTCAGGGATAAATTGAGGTATTTTAAGGAGTTAGTAATTAAATTCTAACCTAACCTTTCTATACGTGCCTTTCTATCACTCACACAGTTTAAATGTTTAATCACAATTTCATTATTAAATAGGGTGCAAGTTTTGTTTTCAGCTATCGTTAATTTGCTTAACAATTTGTTTCAGCAACTCGCTGCAATTTGTTTTATAACCTTCAGATTTGCCATATAAGGCGTACAGAGCGCTTTATTAAATTTTACTTTTTTTATTTATATAACTTCCCTTCTCAACAGAGGTGACTCTGCTAACTTTTTACTAATCGTCTCAAATGGTATTTTAGCTTCAGGCACTGCCTGTAATAAAATTGTGTATCGGTGTGTATATGCATGTGTTTGTACAAAATGTATAGACTATTTTGCAGGCGCAAAATGAGGCAGGCAGATAAACATAAATAATAAATAAAATAGATATTTATGTAAAACAAACTACAGGTAATCCTCCACATACGACCACAATTCTGCCCCAAATTTATGACATTAAGCGAGACAGTTAAGAGTGTTTTGCCTCATTTTATGACTTTTCTTGCCCCGATTGTTAAGTACATCACTACCGTTGTTAAGTTAGTAACTTAGTCATTAAGTGAATCTGGCTTCCCCATTGACTTCGCTGGTTAGAAGGTCACAAAAGTCCATCACATGACCCCAGGACACAACAACGGTCATAAATATGAGTCAGTTATCAAACATCTGAATTTTGATCACGTGACAATGGGGATGCTGCAATGGACATAAGTGTGAAATGCAATGGACATAAATGTGAAAAAGAGTCATAAATCCCTTTTCTCATTGCTGTTGTAATTTCAAATGGTCACTAAACGAACAGTTGTAAGTCAAGGAGTATTTATACTTGTACTGAGTATGGAAAAATCTGAACTCTGCCTGATGTTGATGTAAGAAGTTTGGAAGTTTTACTTATTCAGTTTCAGCCTTTTGGGATTCTTTTCCAGGCTGTCATAATCTTATGACTCTGGAATGGAATGGAAGGGAAGGGAAGGGAATGGAAGGGAAGGGAAGGGAAGGAAAGGAAAGGAAAGGAAAGGAAAGGAAAGGAAAGGAAAGGAAAGGAAGGAAGGAAAGGAAAGGAAAGGAAAGGAAAGGAAAGGAAAGGAAAGGAAAAAGGAAAGGAAAGGAAAGGAAAGGAAAGGAAAGGAAAGGAAAGGAAAGGAAACAGAGATAGGGAAGGGAAGGGAAGGGAAGGGAAGGGAAGGGAAGGGAAGGGGAATGGGAATGGGAATGGGAATAGGATAACAGAGTTGGAAGGGAACTTGGAGGTCTTCTAGTCCAACCCCCTGTTTGAAACCCTACACCACTTCAGACAAATATCTAACGGCATAATCACACCTTATATGTATTATTATCCTTATATTATCCTGCTTTCAAAATGGCTTTGGCTGAAAGGGAGGAACAAAGTTATTATAAATAAAAATGGTAAAAATATATTTGGATACAGTCAGGGTGGATAAAAATTGATGACTTTTTTTAAAAAAATGGATTTTTAAAATTTAAATCCGATTTTTTTGATTTAAATCAGATTTTTTTAAAAATGCTTTGGAATAAAAAAAATCTATTTAAAGATAGTTTTCTATTTAAGATACATTAATAATTTAGTTTATTCAGCATGAAATGGAGCTTAGTTATGTAGCACGAGGCGGTATATTTTGCAATATTGGGACAATCAGTGAGTCAACAGCGGGTCAGAGGAGGAGCTGCTGCGGGACAGAGATGACAGTTGCTCTTTAAAAATTAGGATTTAAATCGAGTTGATTTAAAGCAAGTCTTTTTACTAGTGATTTAAATCATTTAATCGTTTAAACCAGGGGTCCTCAAACGTGGTGACTTTAAGACTTGTGGACTTCAACTCCCAGAAAGTTCACAAGTCTTAAAGTCGCCAAGTTTGGGGACCTCTGGTTTAAATCGATTTAAATTTATTTATTTTTATTTTATTTTTATTTATTTTTATATGCCGCCCTTTTCCGGAAACTCAGGGCGGCTTACAATGTGTTAAGCAATAGCCTTCATACTTTTGTATATTTATACAAAGTCAGCTTATTGCCCCCACAAACCGGGTCCTCATTTTACCCACCTTAGAAAGGATGGAAGGCTGAGTCGACCTTGAGCCTGGTGAGAATTGAACTCGCAGTAATTGCAAGCAGCTGGATGTTAAATGCTGCCTTAGTAGGAGGCATTAGCCTCCTACGCCACTCAGGCTCAAATCCACCCTGGATACAGTGGTTCTAGAAGGAACGGTTAAAGTAAGAGAATTTCCAACTGAACATTTGATTTAAAAGTTGTTGAAACTTGACAAGTGCGAGAAGTGTGCCAAATTAATTCTTTACACTACCCACTCTGATAGCATTAGTGTCAGAGTTGTTCTTATAACATTTACATTGTCCAAGGTTTGTTGCAGGGTATAATAGAAGCGTAATGCAATATAGTGCAATATACTAACAGCGTGCTTTTCCTTTCAGTTTGGCAACAATAACTATATGAATATGGCAGAAGCAAATAACGCATTTTTTGCAGCGAATGAGGTAAGCATCACATCCTCCTCCACCCCACCCCACCCCTACAAATACTTTTACTCCTCTTCGCTTTACACTGTAATCCTGTTGTTCACTTCTATAATGTTTGCAGCCTTTTTCGATAGATGATGGGCGAAGTGCTAAATTTTCTTGCGTTTTATGGAGCACAAAATAAAGTCTTTAATGAGAGAGAAAATAACCTGACACTATACCATTGCCGGTCAATTTAGTTGTCTGTAAGACGTTACTTACGTAGCATGTCGATAAAAAAAACAAATCTATGCGAATGTGCATGTGTCTTTGTGTGTATCTATGTGTGTGTGTGCACGTGTTTGTATCAGGCACAAAAATCAGGTCCATGTGTGAAGGGTCTAGTTAAACTGATTTATTGCTAAAATGCCTAAGTAAAGGAATCTTCTCAATGAATGGTTGTTGCCTATTTGGATTTAAATAAGGGGCTACAGAATTTATTTTATTTTTTATTTATTTATTATTCATATTTCTATACCGCCCACTCTCCGAGGACTCTGGGCGGCTTACACCAAAGACAGCATACTAAATAGCACATTGCCCCCAACAATCTGGGTCCTCATTTTACCCACCTCGGAAGGATGGAAGGCTGAGTCAACCTTGAGCCGGTGAGATTTGATCCGCTGATCTGCTGAACTAGCAGTCAGCTGAAGTAGCTGCAGTACTGCACTCTAACCACTGCGCCACCTCGGCTCTTTATTCAAGGGAGACTGCTTGTGGCTATGTAAGGATTCTAGGCTGGTCCCTTTTTTAGCGCTTCCCACAGGTTCTGCCACTCCTGCAATTTCTTACATAGACAGACAGATAATTATAGTTCCATTTGAGGGAGATAGGGCCGTGATGGCGAACCGGGGTCGCCCCAGCCCAGCTCCACCGTGCATGTATGTGCGCTTCCCGCCAGCCAGCTAGTCTACGGGTCTCTGCCGCGGATGCTCAAGGGGTGGGGCACATGCAGGGGATGCACACATGCATGCGCGGGGGGGTGGGGCACATGCGGAGGTGCTCGCATTGGAGTTAGGGGGTTCGTGCGAATGCGCACACCCAGTTTTGAGCCTGGAAGGTCTCCTGCACCAATCTGCAAGCCAAAAATGGGCAAGGAGGGGTAGGGCACATGCGCAGGGGATGCATGCACATGAGCTGGGGGTGGGACACATTCGCAGGGGCAGGGCGCATGCACAGGGGGGCACTCGCATTGCATTTTGGGGTTCTGACACACGCATTTGCGCACGTGCACTTTGGGCACTCAGCATCAAAATGGTTAGCCATCACTGAGATAGGGGATTTAGAAGTGTGTGTGTACACACACACACACACACACACACACACAGGGATGCACACGCACACATACACAAAGGCAACCAGAAGGAAGCAGATTTAAGGCACAGTAGGCATACATTTTAAAGCAAATTCACTGAACGCTAATCAACTAATTAGGGCCATAGATACAAACACTTTATTTTTCAATTTAGGTTCTTAGGAAAACAAAGGGAGCCCAGCTCATTGGTGGGATTATTTGTTTTCTGGGGAAAATAAGAAAAGAGGCTCTCCTTAGAGAGTCGTGGTGGCGGCTTGGTTCAATGGAAGCATTAGATCTGAATCGATAAAGTCTGACTTGGTCACAGGGCATTTGCCACCCCAATATTCATGTAGTTTATTTTTCAGTCTGTTGGTCCTCTCCTTGAAGGTCTTCTAAAGCAGGGGTCTCCAACCTTGGCAACTTTACGACTTGTGGCTGGCTGAGGAATTCTGGGAGTTGAAGTCCACAAGTTGTAAAGTTGCCAAGGTTGGAGACCCCTGTTCTAAAGAGCATCAGGGTAGCAAAAGTGACTCTGGTTCCAAACTGAGCTGGGTTTTTTTGGCCAAAATACATGCTTGGATGGAAATGGAAACCTTGGCCATTACCTGCTGAATTTCTCTGGCTTTATTTTTATTTCTCTTGCTGGTTCATTTGTATTAATAGAGGATTAGGAATGATAGAATAGAATAGAATAGAATAGAATAGAATAGAATAGAATAGAATGAATAGAATAGATAGAATAGAATAGAATAGAATAGAATAGAATAGAATAGAATAGAATAGAATAGAATAGAATAGAATAGAATAGAATAGAATAGAATAGAATACAGAACAGAACAGAACAGAACAGAAGAACAGAACAGAACAGAACAGAACAGAACAATAGAGTAGAGTAGAGTAGAATAGAATAGAATAGAATAGAAATAGAATAGAATAGAATAGAATAGAATAGAATAGAATAGAATAGAATTCTTTATTGGCCAAGTGTGATTGGACACACAAGGAATTTGTCTTGGTGCATATGCTCTGAGTGTACATAAAATAAAAGATACGTTCATCAACGTATTATCATGATAGCAGTGTTCCAATATCTAAGGAGCTGTCCCGAAGAAGAGGGGGTGGTGTCAATCTATTCTCCAAAGCACCCGAAGGCAGGACCAGAAGCAACGGATGGAAACTCACCAAGGAGAGAAGCAACCTAGAACTATGGAGAAATTTCCTGAAAGTGGGAACAATTGATCAGTGGAACAACTTGCCTCCGAAAGTTGTGGAGGCTACATCACCGCAGATTTTTAAAAACGAGATTGAACAACGATTTGTCTGAAATGGTATAAGGTGTCCCGCCTGAGCAAGGGATTGGACTAGAAGACCTCCAAGGTCCTTTCAAACTCTTGTCATTCTGTTATTCTGAAAATTGCAGCAAACTCCTCCAGTATCTCGGTTGGACTTCAGAGTAGAACTCGTAAACAGAAACGACTAAGATCGATAGTAATATGGTCAGCAATCAAGTTTTTCTGCCTCTGAGCCAGAAATCAATCAATCTATCTATCTATCTACCTACCTACCTCTACCTACCTACCTACCTACCTACATCTATCTATCTATCTATCTATCTATCTATCTATCTATCTATCTATCTATCTACCTACCTACCTACCTACCTACCTACCTACCTACCTACATCTATCTATCTATCTATCTATCTATCTATCTATCTATCTATCTATCTATCTGCCTGCCTGCCTGCCTGCCTGCCTGCCTGCCTACCTACCTACATCTATCTATCTATCTATCTATCTATCTATCTATCTATCTATCTATCTACCTACCTACCTACCTACCTACCTACCTACCTACCTACCTACCTACCTTCCTTCCTTTCCTATATCCTTGTACAGTAGAGAAAAGAGAAATTATAGAGGAGAAAAATTGTTGGAGATAAATGTGGCTATATTCAATGCAGTATTTTTATTCTCGTAGTTTTCAAACAATGCCTCCCTCTCCCTCCTCCTCCTCCTCCTCCTCTCTTTCTTCCCTTCCCAACAAGATCGCTTAGATAAGGGAAGATTGCTTGGCACCGGCTTGCTTCAGTGTTGGTTGTGGTAATGAACACCCCCCCTCCCCAATCTGTAATGACAACATGATGTTTCATTCTGTAGAATTTCATTCCTCCATTTGAATCAAACATTGATGAAGGCTCTACTGCCAGCAGCTGTTCAGAGACAATTTAATTCCAGCTGTGATAATTCACCGTGTCAGACATTGGCTGTTATATGTTGATACAACAGCTCTCCAAATTTGCATTTTTATCAAAAGGAACAAATGTTTTGAACATTTTGGTGCAGATGGCATTTAAACACACACACCGAGTTTTTTTTTTTGTTGTTGTTGTTGTGGTTAAGGATTGGGGGATTTTCTCTCCTCCTGAAAATAATCTAAGAGAAAAAAGCATGAAAAAAAGTGAATAGCTCTTATAATCACGATGGGTAACGGAACCTTCTTAAAAACATTGCATAGTCCTCTCCAGATCCTAAGAGGGATCTCCAGAATCAAATTGCACAACATGGAGATACTTTTCAGAATATGAGCAGGCCAAATCCTTTAGCATAAGACTATTTTCAACACCAGCTTTTCTCTTCATTTAGATTAGGTTCACCTTATCCACTTATCTACACATTACTTACAGCAATCATAGCATGAGACAGTTTTGATTCTTCTTTCTTCTTTTCTTTCTTTTTTTTAGTTAAACCCTAGGAGGTATACATCCAGAAAACATGACAAATATGATCATCTTTGAAAAATGTGCTGCAGAATAAAATAGTTGTATTGCAGGGAAGCATAGAGATAACCCAACTATTGGAGTTCACTTTTTTTTTTTATAGAATACTCCCTTTTTGCAAAATGAATTCCACTGCCATGTCTGACTTAATTTATACTCTCTCTCTCTCTCTCTCTCTCTCCATTGTCTGTCTGTCTGTCTATCTATCTATCTATCTATGAATAGAACAGAACAGAATAACAGAACAACAGTTGGAAGGGATCTTAGAGGTCGTTTAGTCCAACCCCCTGCTTAGGCAGGAAACCCTACACCACTTTAGACAAATAGTTATCTAATGTCTTCTTAAAAACTTGCAGTGTTGATCTATCTATCTATCTATCTATCTATCTCATATTCTGCTGTGGATGACTGCTTTGCAGTCATCAAACCATGGGTAAATTTAGTTACCAAGTCCACAATATTAGGTAACATTTTCAATCTGCGCTTGTCACATCTTAAAGCTTATATTGCATTTCAATCTAACGCCTGCCAGTTCGCTTGTGCCTTTAGCCCTTAAAAAAAAACAAAAAAAACAACCTAGCCTCAGAAATTGAAGTGGCTTGTTTTTTTTTTTTGTTTTTTTTTTGCTTTTTGCTAAAAGCTGGGCCTGTTTTCATAAAAGCTGTCACCCCATTTTGTTTCCTTTTTTATAAAAAACAAAAACCCCATCCTGGAGCACCTTAAATATTTATTGAAATAATATTTCAAATGATAATTACGATGGTAATGAAGACAGTCAAATGCCAGATATCAAGAACGAGTGTTTATCCATATTGTTAATGCGATATGTTAGATTTCATTAAGCTGTAATGGGGTAGTAAATGAGTCACAAATTATCACTGCATCTGTTACCAGGCAGCTTTTCGTGCCAACCCCAACTGTAAAATGTAGCCATAGGGTTATTTTTATTAGCCAAACGCCTTCCGTGCCCGGTGCATCCTTTTGTGTTGGTGAACTTCGAGTCTGTGTGGATTATGAATCTCTCCTCCCCCCCTCCCATTTTTTAATATTGAAACAGGAATAAATATCTCCCCGGATGCAAAGCAGGAGCTTTCGGGGCTGAGATTAAGTTGCAATATTTGTACCCATGTGTTTGAGTGTGTGTGTGTGTGGTTTTGAGTCTTGCTTGATTTTCTCGAGATGGTTTTATGTCTGCAGACTGCTGTCTGCTGCCTTTGCCTTCGTGATGGGAGAGCAGTAATGACAGCTGACAGTTTTTCATCGACAGGCAAAGGGACTTCCCCTTTTTTCTCTTCCTCGCGCGTTTCAGTTTCCATTTTCTCCCAAGCAGTTATTAATTTATATCATCATTAACGGTTTGAAGGATGACAATTTCTAGTCCCTTAATGAGAAATTTCACCAAACGTATCATTTTTAAATTAACCGGCATTAAGTCGCTCTTTCGGACAATGTAAATAATGCATGAAGCAAAATTGCTGCCTCCCTTGGAAACAAAATTGCTAGACTGAGCGAAACAAAATAAACCCAACCTATCATAACGATAATAATAATAACACATAAGGTAAAGTCTTTTAATTCAAGATCAGCTCCAGGTAGCTAGATGAAGGAAGGCCTTGAATTTTCTGGGCAGCAACACCAAAGGAGATGGCCATGCAGTTTTTGGCAATGCCATCTGTTATGACCACTACACTACAGAATTTCCCCAATTCAACACAATACCTGGGACTACCGTGTTTTCCCGAAAATAAGACCCTGTCTTATATTTTTTTGAACCCTGAAATAAGCTCTTGCCTTATTGCCTTGCAATCAAAAGCCCGATTGGGCTTATTGTCAGGGGATACCTTATTTTGGGGGAAACAGGGTAGTTAATATCTTTATTAAAGCTCTGGATTTCCCTTGGCAACAATGGCTCAAACTCTTTAAGTGTTTTGTGTTGTAGCTTATTTGGCTTTGTGATACTGATTTGGGAAAACAATCAGAGAACTTGTGTTGTGCAGAAGCCCCCAAAATAACTACAGAGGTTTTAAAAATAGGCAACAAATAGTTGTGGAGTAGCAATGTTAGAATAGGATTAGATTAGATTAGATTAGATTAGATTAGAGTAGAGTAGAGTAGAGTAGAGTAGAGTAGAGTAGAGTAGAGTAGAATAGAATAGAATAGAATAGAATAGAATAGAATAGAATAGAATAGAATAGAATAGAATATGGAAGGGATCTTGGAGGTCTTCTAGTCCAACCCCCTGCTTAGGCAGGAAACCCTACACCACTTCAGACAAATGGTTATCCAACATCTTCTTAAAAACTTCAGTGTTGCAGTATTCACAACTTCTGGAAGCAAGTTGTTCCACTGATTAATTGTTCTCACTGTCAGGAAATTTCTCCTTAGTTCTAAGTTGCTTCTCTCCTTGATGAGTTTCCACCCATTGCTTCTTGTCCTGCCCTCAGGTGCTTTGGAGAACAGCTTGACTCCCTCTTCTTTGTGGCAGCCCCTGAGATACTGGAACACGGCTATCATATCACTCCTACTCCTTCTTTTCATTAAACTAGACATACCCAGTTCCAGCAACTGTTCTTCATATGTTTTAGCCTCCAGTCCCCTAATCATCTTTGTTGCTCTTCTCTGCACTCTTTCTAGAGTCTCCAAATCTTTTTTACATCGTGGCGACCAAAACCGAATGCAGTATTCCAAGTGTGGCCAAGGTCACACTTGATAAGGCCACACTTGTTTATGTGTAGTGCTGGATGGGACATTTTTCACCCTAACTAGGGCTGCATAATTGAAATATTGATGGGCTCATAATCAAAAGAGAACTTACTGGCCATCATTGGGTGAATACTCTACTTTGGTCTAAGAAGGTATCCTTTATATTGGGCTTGCAGGTAAATGGTGTAGTATCCACACAAGCCATGATCCTGACTTCCCTTAAGTACATTGGCTACAGAGCTTAGCCAATCAGGATACAGGATGATGCAATACAGTCTTAAAGCAATATAATACCTTTCTGACTGCAAACATACATTGTTGGTTTATATATTGCCTGACCAACTAGTTAGACAAATAACCATTTCCTAAAAAGCCTTATCCATCACCAATTGTAGTAAATAAACCTTTTGACTACTATAACAATCCGCTTAATATGATACAACCTGCCTATTGTAAATAAATGGAATAATAAGAGGGAATTTGAAATAGGATTCTAAACTTTTCATGTGTTTGAGCTACGAGTCTTTACTACCAGTACATATGTGCACTACCAAAATTGGGAGCATTTATGGTCGTGTCAGAACAATTTGTAAGACGATTGTGCTGTTTTGTTTTTACTAATATATCAATAAAGTGGCAATTTGTTCTCCAGCTAAAAAAAAAAAAAACCTATCCCAGGCTAACCGATGTTCCTTCCAACAACAAAGACAGATGTTGCTAATTAAGTGTGCATTAAAAAACAGTTAATACTGATACATCATTAAAGCCATATGATAATGAGAGTTGAATCTTTAATCTGAAGGATCTGAAGAGCTGGGCAGATGTGAAGCGTGCTGCACACTTGTGACTTACAATTAAAAAAAAAGAAGAAGAAGAACTTGAGACTCAGATTGTGAGGAGTGTAAAAGAATTTTTTTAAAAGATGCCCCAAATGTGCTTTCCCCCCCCCCAAAAGGTAACTTTTTGTTTTTCCTTGAAGACGTTTCGCTTGTCATCCAAGGAGCTTCTTCGCTTCTGAAGAAGAAGTTGTTGAACTGAAGAAGCTTCTTGGATGAGAAGCGAAACATCTTCAAGGAAAAACAAAGAAAGACCAGTTGCCTCCTGAAAAAAAGCACTGGGAATCTCCACGTAGACATTTTTTAAAAAACAGTGTTTGTTGTTGCGTGATCGTAACGAAGAATTTCTTTCTTTCTTTTTCTTCTAGCAAACATTCCATACTCCAAGCCTTGGCGACGAAGAGTTTGAGATTCCACCAATTACGCCGCCCCCCGAACTGGATCCCACGAATTTAGGGATGGCTGATATTCTCCTGCCTTTTCAAGGCCTCAGTGATCAGTTGGGAGCCCAAGGAAGTGAATTCACACCTCAGTTTCCACCCCAGAGTTTGGATCTGCCTTCCATTACAGTCTCTCGAAACTTGGTGGAACAAGATGGCATTATCCAAAGCAATGGATTACATATGGTAGGAACATATATATATATTGGTGTGTGTTTTTCCCAATCTTCTGGTTATTTATGGTATCTGTTTTATTGCAGCAAAGAAATAGGGCAATATGGAGGATGTAAAACTAGCATTAAAACTTCCACTGATGATGTTACCTACTTTGGTAATGAGACTTCTGCAAGAAAAACAACCAAACTCAGAGAGCACCAAGCACCCCACAGTTGTTGTCTCCTCCTCCTCCTCCTCTCCTCCTCCTCCTCTTCCCATTCTCCTTCTCTGTTCCACAAACCCTATCTCCTTCTGGAACTGATGCTGTCACCTAGTTTGGTAATGAAACTTCTGCAAGAAAAGCAACCAAGCTCAGAGAGTATCAAGGACCCCACAGTTGTAGCCGCATCCTCCTCCTCCTCCTCCTCCTCCTCCTCCTCCTCCTCCTCCTCCTCCTGCCATTCTCCTCTTCCTCCTCTCATTCTCCATTCCACAAACCCCATCTCCTTGTGGAACTGATGCTGTCACCTATTTGGGTAATGAAACTTCTGCAAGGAAACCAACCAAGCTCAGAGAGTGTCGAGGACCCCACAGTTCAGCCCCGAGCTACCAATATTCTCTTCTCACAGTAATCTTAAGCAAGAAAAACGATCCACTAAAAATACCCAGATTTTCTACTGAGTTCCTTTGCCTCTTTAAGATTAACATCATCCCGAATATTAAATTTATATTTCAAAGCCGTGTTGATACATGCCCATCATTACTTATTTAAAATACACACTTTATTAAAGTGATAAATATTTATTAATAATAAAATTCCTTTATTTAAATTGTATATTTTATGAATAATCTTTTCCTTGGAGCCCCCTTTTTTTATGACCGCAATAAAAAAAAAACATAAAAGAGGCATTTTAACTATGAAATTTCATTTCATGGTCAATTGGGTTTGCTGTATCTGAAAGAACTAACTACGGGGCCATAAAATAATTATGATATTAATCTACATTCGTACAATGGCTGCATGCAGCAGTGCTCGATTTTTTAATTGCATCTTTGTTGTCAAGTTGTTAAATCGGTATTGATAGTTAAGTCACAGACTTTACAGATACTACAGATATAGCTTCAATATTGGGTAAGATATATAGAAACTGGAATATTTCTTGAAATCTGAAGGTGACATCTATGAGCAACAGTGTCCATCTGGACATCTCTCTTGCTGAACCGCCTGTTATCCCAATAAAGATAAATATTGCTTTAAAAAAAATAATTAAAAAGGAAACTGGGTATGTTACAAAGAACAGAGAATTCTGTATTACCAGGAATATTATTGGATTCCCCATGTATTCATTTTGCCAAAATAAAAAGCAACGAATGGCTACCCACGGAGTAAAAATGGCAGGGAGACTAAGAGTAAATAACCCAAGGAGCTATAGAATGTTAGGCAACAGATTGTTGCCACACCCATTGTGGTTCTCACAACATGTTCTCCTCATGTGAGCCCAAATGTATTTATCCATTTTACCTGCTGTTTATGTACCGTTCAATCCAACAGCGCCTGTAGCAGATTCCAAAATAAAATAAATAAAAACCCTCTAAGAACAGAACAACTAATCAAGGAGAGAAGCAACCTAGAACTAAGGAGAAATTTCCTCATAGTTACAACAATTAATCAGTGGAACAGCTTCCCTCCTCCAGAAGTTATGGGTGCTCCATCACTAGGCTTTTAAGAAGAGATTGGACAACCATTTGTCTGAAATGGCATAGGGTCTCCTACTTGAGCTAGACTAGAAGATCTCCAAGATCACTTCCATTATTCTGTTATCTCCAGCTTCTAGGAGAGGGGTATCAAAGTCAATTTCATTGAGGGCCACTTAAGGCTGTAGTTAACCTCGGGGTGACGGGCAGGTGTGGCTGACTGGGTGGGTGTGGCTGACTGGGTGGGTATGGCTGACTGGGTGGGTGTGGCTGACTGGGTGGGCGCGGCCAGATTGACACCACTCCCCAAATTGTTGGCATGTTTCTTCTTCGCATTGGGTAGACCGGGTGAAGCCACGCGGGCCAGCCCCTTACATTTTCCAGGATGGCCCCATGAGCCAGATTCGACCACATCATAGGCCGGATGCGGCCCACAGGCCTTGTGTTTGACACCCCTGTTCTAGGAGAAGAATTCTGGTCAACACCAATCTATGCATGAAAACTAGGGATTTCTAAAAAAATAACAGCATGGAACCAATCTAATTTCTGGGAAAACATGGTTCTAAAGAAGGTCTCAGCTATGCAGAAGCTTCATCTTTGTGGTGCCTGAATATGACAAAATGGCTACCCAAGAAGCCTACTATCCTGATTTTTTTTGAGCAGGCAGAAAGCTACTGGGAGAAGACCGTCTCATGCATCTCCAGGCCTAAGCCATGTTGAGTTGTTTCCCCGAGAACACAACATTTTATATACCACATGCAATCCTAGATGTTTTTGGAAACCTCATCATTCCAGGCAGTATTATATAGCTACGGATCGTTCTTTTAATTGGATTTATGGATTGACCCTGTTGAGATGTCCAGCGGAATGTCACCTTGAAGAAATGTCATGAAATTTTCAAGCGTCAACGGCGAAGAAATGAAATGCACTTGGGCAAAACCTATGATTAATACACCGTGTCTCCAGATTTATTCTGAATACTGCCTGACATGTGCACCTACAAAACTTGAATATAAAACCGCCAGAGGCATGAGTAAAAATAGGTTATGTCAAAGTTCACCCATGTTCCCCTCAGGGCCTCGAGTTGACTAGCTACATAACAGTACTTTTACAGGCTTCTCTTAGATTTGCTGCCAGAAGACAATCAGAATAATAAATAATGCTTTACATTCCATTAGTAAGTTTGGATGGCTGTATTTTAAGTGCAAGTAAGCAGTTTTATTGTCAAACTCAACCGGTCTCCCCAATTATTAAAGATGGCTGTCGCTGGATTAACATTTTCCTACCTCTTGCAAGAAAAGATTAATAAGGCAGCCCAGGACGCCTTGCCTTACATTCCCTAACTAGCCTGTGTGTTTTTTGTGTGTGTTTGTAAACAGAAAGGGATAATTTTTCATATTGCTGATTAGTTTATGATTATGGACAGGAAAGAAAGAAGCATTTATCTTCATTTAAATGCATTCTGTTAGGTTGAGATTTCCTTTCCCTGAAAAGAAAGAGAGAGAGAGAAGGCATACAGTATCATTAGCATTGGCATTTTAATAATATGGTAATGCAAAATATCAACATTCTTAAATGAATTACTGGAGGGAAAAATTGAATAAAGTACCATTTGTGTTCGGAAAAGCACCCAGGGCACATATCACAATATGGGGGGAAAAATATGTATACATCTAGACATAAGCAGACGGAAACCCGTTAGCAAACACCATCACAAGCCATTACAAAACCGAAGCATCACTTGACTGTGGACAATCACCTGAGAAATTATTTTAATTTGCAAAGGAAAGCTGTTCTACAAAGCCATTTCTTGGGCTCCGTGGGGTTTTATCTTTTTTTTTTATTTTATTTTTATTCTTCTCTTCTCCTTTTGTCCCGTTCCCCCGTCCCCCCCTCCCGCCAAACCTTTAAACATCTCTCTATAAGCTGCCCAACCCGCTGAGTAGCACTGACATCAGTAGTACATCAATTTCAGAAAGTGGATTATTTTTACCAGACAGCTATTGTGACATATTGGGTCAGTCATAAATGAAAGATATTCATGCAAGCATGCAATACTTGTAATGAAGTCTCACTCTGACCTTCTGTATGATTGATTCTGTAATTTAGTTTTCTCAGGCACTGCCTGAAATGAAATGAAATCATGTTGAACAAGTTTTGAATACCCACAGTGCACCAGGAGAAGAAAAATCTGTAGCCCTGGAGGCTCAGGAGAGAAGTAGCTGAACAATTTATCTCCATGCTATTATAGCCTTTGCCAACATTCAAGATTTTCTTCCCTCTCTCTCACTCTCTCTCTCTCTCTCTCTCTCTCTCTCTTTTCTTATTTGGCTTAAATACTTAATTCTGCAGGTAGCTGTAAATGGGAAAATAAAATGCTGTTCAGATTTAAAATGACAGCACCGGAGTACGTGCAAGGGACTGATAAAATATCTTGAATAGAACTGACCTTTTATGTTGCCGAAAGTTACTGAGGGATTCATCCTAATAATTACCATATAGATTATTTTTTATTTCTTTCCTGCAATGAAACATTTCAGGGAGCAGTGGTGCTGATTGAATGAAAATTGAACTTGTTAACATTCTCTCAGCTTAGCCTGTTGTACATAAGAGAAGGTTAGCTTTGATGAATTTTGAAATTCCTTTTTTTTTTCTTCTTCTTCAGATATCTAAGAAACAGACGGGGAAATAATTGCCTTTTTTTCAGCCCACGTTTTTATTTTATTTTCTTCTCTTTTTTTTTATTAAAAATAAATTACCTCTGGTTTTTACAAAAAAAATATACATCATTCTTGTAGTATGGGTGTTGGTGGGTGTACATTTTTTCCCCCTATAAAAATGTTTTTGGAAGATTTTAAAAATATCACAGTGTTTTGGTGACATAATCTTACTTAGAGATTGTGTCTTAAATTAGATGTTGTGAGGAGACTATGGAAGAATAATGTGGTATATTGTTCTGTAAAATTTATGCTGCTTTCGTTTATCAAAGAAGAATCAAATTCACCAGGAAGAAGAAATTTATGCTGCTTTCGTTTATCAAAGAAGAATCAAATTCACCAGGAAGAAGAATTTTTTTTAAAATAATCTTTATTTGCATTTATAGTTCAAAGGAAGACAAAAAACAGAAAAAAGAACAAGACAAAACAACAAGAAAAAAAAAGAAAAGAAAAAAAGAAAACATAAGAAAATATAAACAATACATTGGTATTTTCGATAATTTTTGATCAAGCTAAAACAGCTAGAGATTGGAAAAAACATTTGTCTGAAATGGTATAGAGTTTCCTGCATGAACGGGGTTGGACTAGAAGACCTCCAAGGGCCCCCCTCCAATTCTGTTATCTACTCCATGAAAATTCACCAGATGCCTGCTTTCTAAGTGTTAGCTTCATTATTAAAACAATATCCCACAATGTGATATACAACACACAGGGAGATTTTATCTCCTGTTTACCATGGTTTACAAATCAGCATTATCATCTTATTCTTTTAAGAATCGGTGATGGACTGTATGAAAATTATTAAATAAAGCATGATTTACATCACTGAATATTCTTGTTAACCCATGTAGGTTAAGAAACAGCTGTAAGTTGAAGCATCTTTCAGCTTAATCTTTGTATGTTGGTCTGTATCTGTTTATTTTAACTGTGTTATGGCACAAAAGAAATGAGCCATTGCAGATGAAACAAATGAAGATAACTTGAAATTTTACGGAGACAACACTACAAATCTAAATTTGTATTGGTTTTCAAATTCTTAAACCACCCCCCCTTTTCTCTCTCTCTCTCTCTCTCTCTCTCTCTCTCTCTCTCTCTCTCTCTCAAAAGACAAATTGAGAATGCTCTTTAGGTTATTGCAAACCTGGGTAGACACGATTGCAGCTTATTTCCTTTATCAAATGTATGCTTCCAATTTTGTTGCATATTTGTTTTAAATATATACGTTCTTTTTAATATAAACTTTATGGTCTGAATGAGTGTGGTTGTAATTAGGACAACGTTGCATTAGTGTTATTTCATATATTACAACCCAAAAAATTTTTTCAATCTTCATTACTGTGTTTAGCGATTGGTCAAAGAAGCCTTTGTTAATTCAAACGTGTTGTCAACATTGACATTGACATTGCTAAGGGAGGAAAATTATGGAACACAATTTTCTAGCCAAAATGTGCAACATTGATTCAGCCCAGACCAAGTCACTTTCCAAAAAGGAGTTGATAGAGCCAACACCAAAAAACCCTAACCTTCATTTACTTCTTATATTTTTCAATCTAATTAACATTAACTACCTACCTTAACTTGGATTTCCTCATGTGTTTAATAAATTTCCTCTTCTCTAGTATGAAAAAGGATTGTGAGGATGGCTTGCTCTAAACTTTGCTGGCAGGCAAATCCAAAATATAGTGATAGCAATATAACAAGATATTTTTCCCCAAATAGTGGAAGGATATAATTGCAGCCTTTTTTGCAAACAGCAGCAGAAGGTGTTGCTAGAGAGAAAGAAGGATATCTTCCCAAAACATTTGAAGTTAGTTTCATTGCATATTTGGAAATCCTACCTACCTGATTCCAACAAGTAGCATATTTCTGGACTGTTAAATAGTATTGATTTTTTTAAAAAAAATATTTTATATGAACCCTGGTGGTGCAGTGTTTAGAATGCAGTATTGCAGGCAAATTCTGCCCACAGCCTGGAGTTCGATCCTGATGGGGGCTGAAGGTTGACTCAGCTGTCCATCCTTCTGAGATCGGTAAAATGAGGACCCAGATTGTTGGGGGCAATAGGCTGACTTTGAAAACCTCCCAGATTGTCTTGTAAAGCATTATGGGGCAGTATATAAGTCTATATATAAGTCTGTATATAAGGTATATATATAATATAAACGTTATTGCTGTTTCTCAACCAAATTTGGGGGGTCAATCAAGAAAGGAGGGGAACATTCCGGCCATTTCCAGAGATCTAGATGTTTGTGTAAAGTTAAACCTGGTCATTTGTGTCCAAATCAACTCTGGGTTGATTTATTCCAGGTTCCATCAGTTTGTTTTCTTGACTCTCTCTCTGGTTTCTCAGATGTTCTCCCAACACCAAAGTTCAAAAGTGTGGGTAGTGTCCTATCCTGTCTCTTTTAACATTCAAAATTCCATTAACACCCCTCCATTCTTTCTCTTGTTTCAGGATCATACCCATACAGGAATGCCTCAGTACCGTCAGGACCATTCTTTGATCATGAGATCCGTTGTCCACATGACGGAAGCTGCTCGTTCAGGAATCATGACTCCTAACCAGCTTACTACTATTAACCAGTCCCAGCTAAGTGCTCAACTGGGATTAAATCTAGGGAGTACCAATTTACCACATACGTCTCCTTCCCCTCCTGCAAGCAAATCAGCAACTCCTTCTCCGTCCAGTTCTATCAATGAGGAAGATGCGGATGATCCCAACAGAGTAAGTTACAGCACGTGCCAATCAGTCAATCAATCAATCAATCAGTCAATCCAAAGCTCTTTCTACATAAACTTTTGATGCTTTTGCTCTGGAAAGATTTCAGAATCCTTGCGCCTTGGTAGTTCAGTGGTAAAAATAGAGTACTGCAGGCTATTTCTGCTGACTGCCGGATGCCTGCAATTTTGCAGTTCGAATCTCACCAGGCTCAAGGTTGACTCGGCCTTTCATCCTTCTAGGGCCGGTAAAATGAGGATCTAAATTGTTGGGGGCAATACGGTGACTCTGTAAACCGCTTGGAGAGGGCTGTAAAAGCACTGTGAAGTGGTATATAAGTCTAAGTGCTATTGCTCTCGCTTGCCCAAAATAACAGATTTTCAGATAATTTGGGGGAGTTGCCTGTCTGTGGGTAGGATGGATAACCTAGAGCCTGTAAATGTTCTATTGCAACACCATGCAAGAGAAAATGAGCAGATAGTAGGAAGATAATAATGGATTGGTTGGCTGGCTAGTTGTTTGTTTGTTTGTTTTTGTAAAAACAAGAGTTCAATATATCGATGGGCACCACTTTTATCCAGCTTTATCGCACAGAGATCCTTTGTGATTTTTTTCAAAAGAAGGAAGTTACCCGCATAAGGGTCCTCATGAATAGATTCCTGCCTTATTAATGCGGTCCTCTTGTTTGTCGTCTCTGGCTGCAGTGCTTTTGAAACGTTTTCACATGCCACCTCGTTGGGTATTCATGCTTTCAAAAGAAATCAACAAACCCGATGCATTTCTGCCTTAAAAAGCAGACTTATCCTTTTTCATAAGTGGTGCTCTTCACCTTTCTTTGTTTTTCATCTTGAGAGTAAATGACCATCCGAAAGAAAGATGGCAGGTGGAGAAATACATCTGAACTCGCAGCCCATCCGTTTTGGAAACAAATAGCAGGATTTTAGATGTGTTTCTAGCACAGCATCTTAATTTTTTTTCCCTTTGGTTTTCTTTTCCCTGGGGTTGGGGAAAACCTTTGCCATTATTTAACCTTAAGCCAAAGGAATGTGGCAAATCACATCTAGAGATTGGTAGGCTAGCCAATGGGTGAAAACCAAGAGATTTGCACACACGTAGAAGGTGTGGATCTTATCAAGTGGCGTTTTGATGAAAATTCTGCCTACGAGCTACGCAGGGCAGCTGCAGAGAGAGAGAGACTGGCACTGAGAAAGGATTGAGAAATAACTCTACTCATTGCTCTTTAGCCTGGACGAATTAACAGAGACGTTAGCAACAGCGTGAACAAAAGGGCTGGAAAAGTACGAAGAGTTGCTTCCTCTTCTTTTCACGCAGAGTAATATCTTGTTTCTCAAATGTTAGTGGGGTCCATTGGACACCAAAGAAAGTTTTAATGCTTCAGATGTTCTAGCTGTAGAATTTAATAAGACTGTCCAGAGTCATTGATAGATAGATGAGAGATGAGAGAGAGAGAGACAGAGACAAAGAGAGACAGACAGACTGATTGACTGACTGGCTGACTGACTGGATAGGGTGACTTTGGGTCAATCACCAGGAGACGGTGAGTTCTAGTCCTGCCTTAGCCATGAAAGCTACTGGGTGACTTTGGGCCAATCACCAGGAGTCTGTGAGTTCTAGTCCCGCCTTGGCCATGAAAGCTAGCTGGGTGACTTTGGGCCAATCACCAGGAGTCTGTGAGTTCTAGTCGCCTTAGCATGAACTAGCTGAGTGACTTTGGGCCAATCACCAGGAGTCTGTGAGTTAGTTCTGCCTTAGCATGAAAGCTAGCTGGGTGACTTTGGGCCAATCACCAGGAGTTTGTGAGTTCTAGTCCTGCCTTAGCCATGAAAGCTAGCTGAGGTGACTTTGGGCCAATCACCAGGAGTCTGTGAGTTCTAGTTCTGCCTTATCCATGGAAGCCAGACGGGTCACTTTGGGCCAGTCCCTCCCTCTCATCCCAACTCACCTCACAGGATTGTTGTTGTTGTCAGAAAATAGGAGGAGGAAGGTGTTTTGGCTAAGTCTGCTGCCTTGATTTATTTGCAAAAATAATCAAGGGATACAAATAAATAAAGATCACAAAATCAGGCCCAATTCCCCCTCAACCTCCTTGCTTAGCAACAGAAACTCTGCCCCCCCCCCCCGGTTTCTGTTCGTAAGTTGAGGACTTTCAAGGAGTTGCAGACAAGCCTTGGCCTCCCTTCCGAACATCTGTTCCCCTTCCGATCTGAAGCCTGCTATTTTTAATCACATCTGGCCTCTGAAAAAAAAAAAAAAGACAAGGCTGAATTTTCCTCGTTTCTGCTCTTCTAGGCTGCCGGAGAAAAGCGAGCTGCCCCAGATCCTGGCAAGAAGCCCAAAACGCCGAAGAAAAAGAAAAAGAAAGATCCTAATGAACCGCAGAAGCCGGTGTCCGCATATGCCCTGTTCTTCAGGGACACGCAAGCCGCAATTAAAGGCCAGAACCCCAACGCTACCTTTGGCGAGGTTTCAAAAATCGTGGCCTCGATGTGGGACAGCTTAGGAGAAGAGCAGAAACAGGTAAGCGGAGCGGAGGAGCCCGCCTTGGAGTTCGGAGGGAAAGGCGCCAAGGATTACAATCCCATCTAATTAAAACAACGGAGGGCTGATCTATTTGTGTGTGGTGGGGGGGGGGGCTTCGTTAATGAGGAAGCGAGCACAGATGGGGGGGACATGACCAGGCTGCCTTTTAGTCTCGCCTGAGAAACTCAAAAAGAGTCAAGATCTACCCGGTGGATTTGGTATTTGCGGTGGTAGGATTTTAATGAACCGATGGATGAACCTTGATTAGAAGCGTTTTTCACCGATATTTTGATTATCGGGCGATCCTGTGTTCCTGGCAGGCACGGGGGCACACAAAGGTAGAAATGCGCACGCACACACACAAGCATGTACACAAACACGTACACAATACAGACTTTCTTAGAAATGTTTTTTTTCCTCTTCTATCTCACGAAAGGACTTTGGTTATTTTTGTTTTGTTCCCCTTTTAAAAATTCTTTTAAAAAGGAGTTACAGTGTTGATAATGTCAGAAATTGTCCTACTACTACTATTACTACTACTATTACCTCCTCCTTCCTCTTCTCCTTCTCTTCCTCCTCCTCCTCCTCTCCTCCTCCTCCTTCCTCCTCCTCCTCCTCTCCTCCTCCTCCTTCCTCCTCTTCCTCCCCTCCTCCTTCCTCTCCTTCTTCTCTTCTTCCTGTCCCTCTCCTCCTCCTCCTTCCTCTTTCTCTTCTTCTTCTCTTCCTCCTCCTCCTCTCGTCCTCCTCCTTCTTCTCCCTCTTCTCCTTCTTCTCTTCCTCCTCCTCTCCTCCTCCCCCCTCTCCCTCTTCTCCTCCTCCTCTTCCTCCTCCTCCTCCTCCTCCTCCCCCTCCTTCCTCTCCCACTTCTCCTTCTTCTCTTCCTCCTTTTTCCTCTCTCTCTTCTCCTTCTTCTCTTCTTCCTCCTCTCCTCCTCCTCTTCCTCCTCCTCCCCCTCCTCCTCCTTCCTCTCCCACTTCTCATCCTTCCCCCCTCCTCCTCTCCCTCCCCCACAGCTCCTCTTCAGGCAAGAACTGCTGTACTTTGTGAAGCTTCTGGGTGTTGAAGGTCTGGTGTTAACATTGTACCATTTTTAACAGGTATATAAAAGGAAAACAGAAGCTGCCAAGAAGGAATACCTTAAAGCCCTTGCAGCCTACAGAGCTAGTTTGGTGTCAAAGGTGAGCTGAATGCCGACTTCAGTTCAATGTATAGTAGCAGTTTTTGATTCAGATTTATTTTCTTTTTCAATCATTTTGTTAAAGGCTTTTGTAAAATAAGTAACTATCTCATTGCTTGAGGTATGAAATGGGGTTCCTGTTCCTTCTAAAATTACTTGCAAATGCAGAACTAAACCTGTGGGAAAAGAAGGGGCGAGGTAAACAAATAAGAACTTTTTAAAAGAGCTATATAATAGGTCCAATAGATTTAGTTTCTTCAACATATAAGATCAAGGGAGTGTCAGGTAAAGCACTGCAGCATCACAGAATGTACTTTTTTTAAAACGACCGTGTAACCACTTGCATTGGGGTGGAGTCGGGGCGACAATGGAGCTGAGAGTTTACTGGCCAGATGCCCTTCCTGACACCTACACAGTGTTCGCAGCAAACAATTACTCATTGCACCCAGAGAGATAAATATTTGCCGTTACCTAGGATTGAACTCACATAACCTCCAGGCGAGAGCTCTGCCTCTAGGCCGCCACGCCGCTCCATCACAGAATGTACTACGATAAGACACAATACATTAATACTGAGACCAAGGCTGCCTATACTGCATCAATAACCCTCATCCGCAGTCAACTTGCTGCGGCCAACTTGCCACGGGACAAGAGTGACACTAATATTGAAGAAATAGGGGGACTAGAATCATTAAAGAAAGGAGGACAAAATGAAATGTGACTGACAAAAATTAAAAAAATTTTAAAAATTATTTTAAATATCTATTGCTTAGCGCATTGTAAGCCGCCCTGAGTCTCCAGAGAAGGGCGGCATATAAATCAAATCAAATATATATATATATATAGAAATTGAACGGTTGAATCGTCCTGTGGCAAGTTGGCCGCAACAAGTTCTTCAGTGGTGGGATTCAGCCAGTTCGCACCACTTTGGAAGAACCGGTTGTTAACTTTCTGAACAGTTTGGTGAACTGGTTGTTGGAAGAAATAATTAGGGCAGAGAACCGGTTGTTAAATTATTTGAATCCCACCACCAGAAGAAATAACCTCGAACCCAGACAAGTAGACTTATGGTTGTTGTGTTCTCTTTTTGGCCCACAGGCTGCTGCTGAATCAGCGGAAGCGCAGACGATCCGGTCCGTCCAGCAGACTCTGGCCTCCACGAATTTGTCTTCTTCCTTGCTTCTGAACAGCCCACTTTCACAACATGCCACAGTCGTCACCTCCCCGCAGACTCTCCAGCAGCCCCTTCCCAGGGCCATCGCCCCTAAGCCGTTAACCATGCGGCTGCCCGGGAACCCCATCGTCACCCCCGCCTCCGTCGCCCCCAGCGGGCCCACAAACATTTCCCCCTCACTGATCAGCTCCATGACGACCAGCATGGCCCCCACGCCGTCCTCGGCCCCCTCCCAAGTCAGCCCTTCCTTGCAGAGCCAGCAACACCAGCTGCAGCATCTCCAGCAGCTGCACCTGCAGCAGCAGCAAATGCAGCAGCAGCAGCTCCACCAGCAGCAGCTCCACCAGCAGATCCAGCAGCAGATGCAGCAGCAGCATTTCCAGCACCACATGCAGCAGCAGCTGCAGCAGATCCAGCTCCAGCAGTTGCAACAGATGCAGTTGCAACAGATGCAGCAGCAGCAGCAGCAGCACCCGCCGCAGCCCTCCCCCCAGCAACTTTCCCCGGCTTCCTCGCAGATCACCTCGCCGATAGCGGCCATCGGCAGCCCGCCCCCAGCCAGCCAGCCGCACCCGTCCCAAATACAAGGCCAGACGCAGACTCAGCTCTTATCGCAGGGCGGTATTTTCTGAAGACCCGCCAAGTCGGCCCGTGCTAAAGCTGTGAATCGGGCAGAAAATGGCGCAGGGCTGAGGAAGAGTTTATGCAGGAATGCATAACACATAAAAGGGACTTCTAAGCTGTCTATTAGATAGGCAATAAAAGAACTACAGTGTAGCTGGGTATAATCCTTTAGCTGAATTATAAATATTTGTTTTCCAGGGTTCCTTTCCCCCTTGCCCTTTCCCCTTCCTCTTTCTCCCTTCCCTTCTTTTTTTCCTCCCTTTCCCTTCTTTTCCCCCTTTCATTTCCCCTTTCCCCTTCTCCCACCCCTTCCCTCCCTTTCTTTACTTTCTTCCATTCCACCTGCCCCTTTCCCTTCCCTCTTCCTTCTTCCCCTCCCCTCCCTTTCCCTTCCCTTTCTCTTTTGTTTTTTTAGGCAAATAAACTGTGCTCTTTTTTCCCCACTTTTTTTTTTTAATGTGGCCCCTTTTTTAAAAAATTTATTCCAAGCTTTACTGACAATATATGAACTGAATAGTCTTAAATGCCTGGGCAAGAAGACTTGAGAAAAACAAAATGGCCTTTTTACAATTTTCCGATGAAAACTGTTCCTTTCCTGCAAAATTGTTTTTAGACTGGTTTTAAGTTTTTGGAATTCATTTGAACCCCCAAAGCTCTTAAAAGCACAGTTGTAACTACCTGTAAAATGTCGATTGGATTTCATACAATCATGCTTCCATGACATGAGTAGGTGACAAATGTTTTTCTGTCATGGATAATAATGATGTAAAAGAAATATCACAGACTTTTGCCAAAGCTCTTTTTTTTTCCTTTTTAATAATGTCTTCTGAAGTTCATCAACATCAAAAGCCATCTTTTCATTTTACTCTGCTTGGTTCCCCCCCCCCCCCCCCCAATTTCTCCAATATTTTGGAATAAAACACACACTTAATTCAGTTCTGCTCATAACCCCCATTAAAAAGAAACTGAATATTCTATTCTGTGTTTGGGTGAACTTTCAGATTTAATACACTGTATTTTTTAAAAAAAGGAAATGCACTTAAATAAACTGTTATTACAAAAAAAAAAAGTAAGAAGAAAAAAAATGTTGAGTTTTTAAAATATGATGTAATATTGGTAGATTATTTAAAGGGGGTTGCCACATCTGAATAATCAGTGTAAATATTTTCTTTAAAAGGTTGTAAGTTTTCAGATCATGTGTTGTAAAGTTTTCATAAATGAGGCTTTAATGTAAACACTGGTAACACGAATGATTTAATTGCGGCATTGCTTATTGTGTTTTTATGCTGTTTTATACTTTTTTATGAGTTACAATAGCAGCAATTAAGTTGTTTGTATTTTGCTTATCTAAAAAAAATGCTTTTATCTTGCTATAGAATAAACACATTTCAGGAAAAAAAAAAAACCTACCACCACCAAACAGCTTTGCAAAATTGTAATTAGTCAGTGCTGAATATGGAATATGGATGGGACATTTGATGTGTCCATCTGGTGACAACGGTGACCTACAGAAGGTTGGAATCCTTCGACCTTGTACTCCTTGACTTACGACCACAATTGAGCCCAAAATAACAACAATCATTGACACTATGGAATATGCAGCCATATTCCACTAATATATATTATTACAAGAATAAGTATAGGTATAGGTATAGGTATAGGTATAGGTATAGGTATAGGTATAGGTATGGTATGGTATGGTATGGAATGGAATGGAATGGAATGGAATGGAATGGAATAGAATAGAATAGAATAGAATAGAATAGAATAGAATAGAATAGAATAGAATAGAATAGAATAGAATAGAATAGAATAGAATAGAATGGAGGAGGAGGGAATGAGAATAGAATAGTCTTGAAGTCGTGTCCGACCTATTGCGACCCCATGGACAATGTTCCTCCAGGCCTTCCTGTCCTCTACCATCCTCCAGAGTCCATTTAAGCTCACGCCGACTGCTTCAGTGATTCCATCCAACCACCTCGTTCTCTGCCGTCCCCTTCTTCTTTTGCCCTCCATCGTTCCCAGCATTAAGCTCTTCTCCAGTGAGTCCTTCCTTCTCAATAGGTGGCCATATAGAACAGAATAGAATTATTTGTTGGCCAAGTGCGATTGGACACACAAGGAATTTGTCTTTGGTGCATAAGCTCTCATTGTACTTCATCAGTCAGAGCAAGCTTGTTCGACAAAGAGTCGTTGGAATGCATCAACGCCTTTCACAAAAACCTCAGGGGTTTCCTCCCCAAACTGTGTTGCAATATGTCGATGAATATTGCATATTCTTTAAGCAGGAATTGCATTTCTGGATCTCTCAAGGTTAAACAATCTTCATCATGAGTATATCAACATTTAAGGTTCATTGTTTAATGTCTTCAAGTCTTCAATATTCCCATAAAATAGAAGCAGGATCATGCAATAAGTCATTTTATCTAGAGTTCTAAAGCATGTGTAGAAACGGTGAGAAGATCTTCTAGCTCCTTTGATATATTGGAGAATAGAATTAGAATTAGAATTAATAGAATAGAAAGAATAGAATAGAATTAGAATTAATAGAATAGAAAGAATAGAATAGAATTAGAATAGAATAGAATAGAATAGAATAGAATAGAATTCTTTATTGGCCAAATGTGATTGGACACACAAGGAATTTGTCTTCGACGCATCAGCTCGTACATAAAAGCTATAAGTGATAAATCATGATCATAGTCATCATAAAAATACATTCATCATAAATTATAAGATACAACCCAGTGATAAATGCAACACTTAGTGATAGATAATAGCAGAGTGGCTCATGAAGACAACATTGTAAAATAATTCCCTCCCCCTCCCAAAATCACGATAAGGTGGCATCTGATGGAGAAAACTCTAAATCTATCTTTGCCCATTTTTGGGTCAATAAATGCAATTTTGTTTCCTTACGTACCAACAGAACAATATATTGCAATTAGGATAATTCTCCATGACAGACTCTCTCTCTCTCTTTTTTTTTTTGCATAGATCTGCCTCTGTGTATTTATTTCAGAATCCATTGATTTTTTTTAAAAAAACAAAACTCTTTTATCTAGGTTGACCTTAAAAATCATAGTGTCTGTCCTATGAGAAAGGAAATCAGGAGCCCTGTTGTACTCACTGTTTTACATCTTCCCCACTCCTCTCTTTTCTCCATACAAGGAAAACAGTTTGACCACTATCCCAGTTGTCTTGCATGATTAATTACAGCATCTGTCCTGTCAGAAGCTATAATGAAGAGGTCTTGATAAAAATTGCAAATTACCACTGGCAAACCATCTTAAAACGGCTTGGGATAAAATAGAAAAACAGCAAATCAGGAACCTGAGTAGAATCCTAATCTTGAGGAAAATAACATCAGAGAGATGCAGCGTCCAGGGTTCTCTTTCCTATAAACGGGGATCAAACTAAAATTCACAAAAGTACTGGCTTTAAAGCTCCTATCCATCCAGAAATATTACACGGTGTTCCCCCCAACGTGATTTCTGTGGAGCTTTTAAATAATGTTGGGAGGAAGAACATAAAAGAGGGCAGGAAATTTCGTTACGTGCATTACGACCCTGGGAGGCCAGGGTGGCTTACAGAATTGAGTTGATGGTATTTTATTTCCAGTGAAATCAATAGGCTTAAAGCAAAATAGGAATAGGAATTAATAGGGAATAGAATAAATAGAATAGAATAGAATAGAATAGAATAGAATAGAATAGAATAGAATAGAATAGAATATTGGAATGTAGAATAGAATAGAATAGAATAGAATTAGAATAGAATAGAATAGAATAGAATAGAATAGAATAGAATAGAATAACAGAGTTGAAGGTCCTCAACTTGGAGGTCTTCTAGTCCAACCCCCTGCTTAGGCAGGAAACCCTACACCACTTCAGGCAAATGGTTATCCAGCATCTTCTTAAAAACTTCCGATGTTGGAACATTCACAACTTCGGGAGGCAAGTTGTTCCACTGATTAATTGTTCAAACTGTCAGGAAATTCCTCCTTAATTCTAAGTTGCTTCTCTCCTTGATTAGTTTCCATCAGTTGCTTCTTGTCCTGCTCTCAGGTGCTTTGGAGAATAGCTTGACTCCCTCTTCTTTGGGGCAGCCCCTGAGATATTGGAACACAGCTATCATGTCACCCCATGTCCTTCTTTTCATTAAACTAGACATACCCAGTTCCAGCAACCGTTCTTCATATGTTTTAGCCTCCAGTCCCCTAATCATCTTTGTTGCTCTTCTCTGCACTCTTTCTAGAGTCTCTACATCTTTTTTACATCGTGGCGACCAAAACTGGATGCAGTATTCCAAGTGTGGCCTTACCAAGGCATTATAACCTGGTATTAAGACTTCACGTGATCTTGATTCTATCCCTTTGTTTATGCAGCCTAGAACTGTGTTGGCTTTTTTGGCAGCTGCTGCACACTGCCGGCTCATATTTAAACGGTTGTCCACTAGGACTTCAAGGTCCCTCTCACAGTTACTACCACATATACTGTACCTGTGCATTTTGTTTTTCTTGCCTAAATGTAGAACCTTACTTTTTTCTCCACTGAATTTCATTTTGTTAGATAGCGCCCAATGTTCAAGTCTGTCAAGATCCTTCTGTATCTTAAGCCTATCTAGAAAAGAAAAAAAGAAAAGAAAAAAGAAAAGAAAAGAAAAAAGAGAAAAGAACTTCCAGTGTTGTAGCATTCACAACCTCTGGAGGCAAGTAGTTAATTTCAGTGGGACCCCAAGTTAGCATCCAAGGCACTTAAGATATTGCAGCCTTCCAAAAAATATTGTGGCAGAGAAGAGATTGACTTGATACCTTCTTTGGTCAGATGACACCTGTCATCTTCATCACCTCTCCATTCTTAAGACTCCCAACGCTGATAGGATGGGAAAAGGTCTCCATTTCCCTAACAAATTCACATCAAGAAGAATAGAAACGATAGCAGCCAGCTATGACCCTATGTTCTCAGCTCCTCCAATCCTTCCTTAAATCTGTTTTTTTTCCCTCTCCCTAGTTCTACCTAACTTTTGTACTGTGCCTCAAAAGTCATGTGTAGCTAAAAGAAAAAAATATTGGCGAAGAAATTAACATTTTTCATTTCTTCTGAGGGTATTAATCTAATTTAGCAATTGCAGGACAAGCCATAAGGTACTCATTTCTTTATCCTGAAAAGAGACAAGATGGTAGGGATTAAGAATCCTGCTCCAGCAGCTGCTGTTTGAGGTAGCTGCTGCTTCATTAAATCAAATGTTTGTCTTGACCCTATTAATTCATTTATTTATTTATTTTTACTTATTCACGTATTTATTTCTCACATTTCTATAGGGCCAGCATTCAAAGACTTTGGGAGTGTAACAGCAATAAAAGGATAAAACAATACAGATAAGGGAAGCAATGCAAAGAATGATCTTTACATCTCAACTAGGTGATTTTCCACTCTGCACTTAAATGGGGTGCTTCCCTTCAAACAATCAAGCTTTATTTGGGAAGAAGCACTCTTTTGTTTCAGAAAAGAAGCCATTTCTCAAGTCAAAATAATGAACTAATTATGTGCATGCTGAGCTCATCCCTTGAATATGTCAACTTTAATCAGAAGTGAGAAAAAATAGATAGTTGGAAAATCTTCACCATCAGCATCCTTAACAGATTGATAGACTGACAGAAAATGAGTGAGAAAGAGATTAGAGAAGATGATAGATAGATAGATAGACAGACAGATAGGTAGGTAGGTAGGTAGATAGATGTAGACAGATATACAGACAAGATAGATGATAGGTAGGCAGATAGGCAAATAATGATATTTTGTACATAAAGATTAGTAAGTAGATTAGATAGATATATAGACAGATAGCACAGTTCTATCAACTTTATCCAGAGAGAAGTCCCATTGGGAAAATAGGCTCTGTTGGACCAAACAGATTTGGCAGCTTTCCTAAGATACCTAATAAATTTGAGGTCTGTATTTGATTGGAACATTTGAATTGAGCAAGGCAAAAAGTCTAAGACCCATTGAAATTCAGCTTTTTGTTGTTGCATGGTTACCATTCAGTTAAATGGGGTTTAGATGGAAGAAAATCCCAAGCATATGCACGCACATAGACACACACACACACACACACACACACACACACACACACCTCAATTACAGCTAATTGAATATAGCAATCAACGCTCTTGAAAGCTCCTGAAATTCTTACCTTCAAGAAATGAAACCTAAACCACATATGACAGTAATTG